AGCCTAGCAGGTTGACGCTGAGGTGGCCGTGAGTGTGCCACTGCACTCCAGCCTGGGTGACAGAGACTCCGACTCAAAAAAAAAATGTAAAAAGTAAAAATAAAAAACTTAAAATAGATAAAAGCGTATAGAGTAAGGATATAAAGAAAGAAAATATTTTTGTACAGCTGTACAATGTTTGTGTTGTAAACTAATTGTTATTACAAAAGAGTAAAGAAATTAAACAAAAAAGAAAAAGTCTACAAAGTGAAAAGTTACAGTAAGCTTGGTTTAATTTGTTATTAAAGAAAAAAGCTAGCCGGGCTTGGTGGCTCGCGCCTGTAGTTCCAGCTACTTGGAAGGCTGAGCGGAAGGATCGCCAGAGCCCAGCAGGTCGAGGCTGTGGTGGCCGGGAGCGTGCCACTGTTCTCTAGTCTGGGCGACAGAGTGAGACTCCAACTCAAAAAAAAAAAAAAAAGAAAGAAAAAGAAAAAAGTTTAAAAAAAAATTTAGTGTGCCCTAAGTGTCTACTGTCTATAAATCCTACAGTCGCATATGGCAATGTCCTAGGCCTTCCCATTTACCCACCACTCGCTGACTCACCCAGAACAACTTCCAGTCCTGCAAGCTCCATTCACAGTAAATGCCCTGTATTGGTGTATCTTTTCTTAAATCTTTATATTATTTTATTTTATTTTGAGTTGGAGTCTCACTCTGTCATCCATGCTGGAGTACAGGGGCACACTCACGGCCACTGTAGCCTTGACTTGTTGAGCTCCGGCAATCCTTCTGTTTCAGCCTTCCAAGTAGCTACAGGCGTGCACCTCCATATCTGGCTAATTTTTTGATTTATTGTGGAGACGAGGTCTCACCAAGTTGCCCAGGCTGGTCTCAAACCTATAGGCTCAGGCAAATCCTCTCACCTCCGCTTTCCAAAGTGCTGGGATTATAGGCATGAGCCAACCTGCCCAGCTTTCTTTTTTATCTTTAACACTGTATTTTTACGATATGCTTGCTATGTTTTAGAGATACAAATAGCGTTGTGTTCCAATTACCTACAGTCTTCAGTGTATAGCATGCTATACAGGTTTGTAGCCTAAAAGCAATAGGTTATATCCTACAGCTTGGGTGTGTGGTAGGCTAGATACGTCTAGGTTTGCGTAAGTGCCCTCTGTGATGGTTGCAAAACAACAGAATTGCCTAGTGATGCATTTCTCAGAGTGAATGCATCCCTGACATTAAGTGAGGAAGGACTGTGCTTGGTAGTTGGCACGTACTGGATACTGGCCCATGGAGTAGAAGCTAGCATGGTGGGGAAGGTGAAGAAGTAGTTTCTGAATGTGCATGTGCCCTGGCTGAGATAATAAATATATCCTGGGGAAGGTGGTGAAAATTAAGACTATTTTTAGAGATTTTAGGATCCAGCGGGTGGTAATCCTGATCACATCTCTGTGTCATTCACCAGTTCTGCCCCTGAAAATACTAAGTAGGTTCTGGTGAATGATGGTACAATGATCAAAATCAATCAGCTGGCCAGGCACAGTGGTTCAGCCTGTCATCCCAGCATTTTGAGAGGCCAAGGCAAGAGGACTGCCTGAGCCCTGGGGGTTCGAGACCCGCCTGGGCAACTCGGTGAGTCCTCGTCTCTACAGTAAATCACAAAAACTAGCCAGGCCTGGTGGCACGCACCTGTAGTTCCAGCTCCTTGGAAGACTGAGGCAGATGGATCGCCGGAGCCCAGTAGGTCGAGGCTTGCGGTGGCTGGGAGTCTGGGTGACAGAGTGAGACTCCAACTCAAAAAAAAAAAAAAAAATCAGAGAGGCCGAG